GAGAGAGAGGGGGGGGGGGCCTTGGCAACACGACCGGGGCCAGCGCCGCACCGGCGCTGAAAAAGCGTGCAAAAATCGTTCTGCAGCCCTTGGCTGCTGCCGGGCCCCGGACGCTTTCGGGCGGGGCCGGGCGCCTGGCGAGCGTGAGGTAGGCTATCCGCGCGCGCGGAGCCGGAGCGGGCGGCCCGCCCTGCGCCTGCCCGTGCCGAGGCCGCGCGGGACGGGTGGACGGAGGAGACGGACTTCGAGGAGCAGAAGAGAAGGTCCGGAGGAGCGCGTCCGGCAATGCTGTGTTGTATATAATTATCCTGGGTGCAATTACCGTAATTTGGTGCCGGGCCGCCCAGGCGCGCCCGCCTCCGCCGCCTGGCGGGCACGTTTTTGCCGAGGCAGTGTGGGCCCTGGCTGGGGCCTATGCCGCCGCCCTGGCCGAGCTCGGGTCGACGAGAAGGTGGTGGTGGTAGAGGAGGAGGAGGCGGTTGGGGTCCTAGACGGGGGAAAGGAGGTGGGTGCAGGAGGTGCCTTGCCAGCAGGAGGACCTTCGGACCCACCGCTCTCTCCTTTCCGACGCCCCCTTCCCTGCTCTCTCTCTCTCTCTCTCTCTCTCTCTCTCTCTCACTCTCTCCCGCCATGCCCCTGTTTCCAGCGAGCGCACGAATTCGCAGCAGAAGGATACAAATGGGAGTGTTTCTTTTGCATGGGGACCCTGGCCTGGTCCCCCCTCCACCTCCTCCTCTCTCCCTCCCGTCCACTCCCTTCCCCCTCACCCACGCAAAAGTCCGCAAGGAGGCCGACGCCGGTGGGCTACGGAGACGTGAGCCCCGCGGGAGGGGAGGGGGGAGGGGGAAGTGGGCCCGGGAGAGAGGCGATAGGTGGGGAAGGGAAAGGAAAGAGGGGGGGGGGGCTCACGGTGGCGTGAGGGACCGTGATAGTGAGAAATGAGAGAGAGTGAGAAGGATGGGCAACGGGGGCGTGGCTTAGAACGAAACTGAGAGAGAGAGAGAGAGAGAGAGAGAGAGAGAGGAAGCAGAGAGGTATTGGACAGGGAGCAGGTTGCTCTGGCTGGGAGCGAGGCATTTGTTTGGCAGCCACACGCACACTGCCAAAAAAATGTACGACAAAAAAACAAACAAACTGGAGGACGTAGGAAAAGGGAACTGTTTGGATCGCAAAGAAAATCACTGCATGGTCGCTCCGAATATGGGGATGTACCTTGTCAAAAGTAGGGGGGGATTTTTCCTCACGCCGTTTTCTTGTTTATTTTCCCTCCTCCTGCGGTCCAATCCCTGGTGAAATGATATGCACCCTGTGCGGGATTGAAAGGGATGGCGCGGACCTTCTCGTCCCCGCGGGTGGCGCCAGCCAGAGGCGCCAGCAGCCTCACCATTAGGCGCCACCGGTGCGGTGGGGGGCGCGGGCAACATTTGTCTTGTGTCGGAGAGCGGAGCCGGGCGGGGGCTCAGGCCGAGGCTCACACCTTGCGACAGCCCGGCGGGCCCGGCGGGGAGGGAGGAGGGATTCGATTGTGACGGAAGTGCTGAGCGGCCGCGGCACAAATCGCTCTCCGCGCCGTTAGGGTGGCAACCGCGCTGACGGAGGTGCGTGAGTGACTATCGCCAACAAGGCACTTTGTCTCCACGGTGTACCTTGCTGGAATGGTTTTTACCTTCATTGATGTGGTTCAACTCAATGGCGCGGTTGTAACGTAGTTCGTAGTTGTACTACCTCCCCGACGTGGTTGTACCTTACCGTCGTGGTTGTAGTGCCTCACCGACGTAGTTGTACTACCTCACTGACGTAGTTGTACTATCTCACCGTCGTGGTTGTAGTCACCGACGTGGTTGAACCTCACCGACGGAGTTGTACTACCTCACTTAAGTAGTTGTACTACCTCGCCGACGAGGTTGTACCTTACCGACGTGGTTATAGTACATATCTCACCGACGTGGTTGTTGTGCATCACCAACATGGTTTGTAAGTAAACCACCTTCCGCAGCTTCAAGGTCACGGTGTAGCCCGAGGTGTGCTTACCTATCCTCGCACGGGCCCTAAGCCTGGCTGACAGTCTCACTTACCTCCCCGAGGAGCGACGTTGTCTGGCACCCCCCGAGTCCAGCTGCCCGGCGGCGGCATCAGCAGCCGAATGAAGACAAGTGACAGTGCTCCCCGCCCGCCACGCCACGCCACGCCACGCCTCCATCAATTCCTGTTACCGGTCCCCTAGTTAAGTGAAAGTGTATCACGCTGACGAGGACGGAGGTGCCGCCTCTGCCGCCGGCCCGGATCGTCACCTTGGCGAAACTTCAGGAGGACGTCGCAAGGGAAAAGATCTCGTTTTCAGAACAATTAATCAGCATTTATTGTATAATAAGAGTTTTGACATTTTATGCTTGGCTCCTCCTTATTTTATTTTGTTTCGAAGGCCTTACCGGAGGTTTCCTTTGATGCTGGTCACCGCCTTGGTGGGCTGGTTCGGTTGCTGGCCTGCTGCACGCACTCGCAGTCGCACCTCTTGTAGTCCAGCACGGTCGAGTCCTTGCACTCCCCCGCCCCGCCGCAGCCCGCCCAGTAGGTGCTGAAGCACCGCCTCTCCTTGCTGCACTTGTCCCACGAGTCCCAGTCCAAGCTGCTGCCGTATCCGCCGCAGCCGCACCAGCAGGCCCTCCTGCACATGTCCACGCAGTCCCGGTCGTCCGGGCCGCACTCGCTGCAGGTCGCCTGGTCGCACTGCAACACAGTCGGAGCACTGGTATTGGGGGACTTTTGGGAACTTTTGGCAGGTTAAACCTCCAAATTTCCAGTTTCATTTGGTGGAATTTTTGATATCTTGCGAGGGAGGGGGTACTCGGCGTGCTGTAAAGCACACAGACAGGGACCCACCTGTCTGTCGCGCTGACACTGGGTCCACTTGGCGAGCTCCTCCTCGGCGGTCGAGCGCTGCCACCGGTGGTGTCTGCGTCCGCCGGCGTTGCCGTTGACCTGTAGCCCCAGGGCGACCGGCAGCAGAACCAGCAGCACGGTGGTCAGCACCGCGCTTTGCATCGTCTGAGGTACACGGTGTTACTCCGAAAGTGACAAACCTGCACTGCGCCCTCCGTGCGGCAGAACAGGCAGAAGTTGAGGCTGGGAGTTGTTGTCGGTCACTGTCGCTGCTCGCTACTGGCGACTCGCTGCTGCCCATTCTGTATCGCCTCTTGATAACGTTGTGATGGTCGCGGAATAAACCGAAAAAAATGCGCCAAAGAAAACGGCGTCGGGAAGGGTCACGGGGTCATCGTGATGACCTCGGTGCCGAGGCTGGAAGTCCTACGGCAAACAAGTGCCATTACTGTAGAATCCTCGTGGACGCCGATTTGCCAAAGATATAGTACTGACTATTATCTCCGTTTATCTTCATTTATTGAGGAAAACCAAAACTAGTTTTGACACTGTACTTGTGTTCGTTGTACCTTTATATATGTTATTTTCAAATCTTTCACAGAGCTCTGTTTCCCCCCCACTCCACGAACGCCCTCTAGGTATGGGGCTTGTCCTGCGGGGCCGCGCCACCCCTCAAACTGACTGCAATGAATTGCAGCAATATCGCGTCCGAATGGCCGGCCGTGGCCGCACTGTGGCCCCTGACCGCACGTGCGTGAGGGAGTGAGTGCGTGTGTCCACGTGTATGTCCACGTGTGTGTCCACGTGTAGCCCCGGCGTATGTGTCTGCGTATTAGGTCCGCGTGGGTGTTCTTGTCCACAGGCGTTTTCACGTTCGTGTCCACATGTACGTGCACACTAACTGGATTTGTATCTTTTATTCGCACGGAGTTAAGCAATCAAATTTTTGACGCACATTTCTGCGTTAATTTGAGCTTTTTAATTCATTTCTTTGCACGAAATCATGCTCTTTTGTGTGCAAACTTGTACAAAACGAAACCTAGGTTTAAGAGTGAACGTGAACATTTCCACAAAAAGCATACAAATATATTAAGCGTGTGTGTTGACGTGCAAGTCCTGCTTGTCCACCTGTGCACTGAACTCCGGTTTTATATTTTTGTTACCGATGTACTTGTGTATCGCCACGGGGTTCTTGCGCACACCGCGTCCTGGAGTCCTCAAGGACAAAGCTCGCACTGCTCTGCCACTACTCCTTCCAGCGCTGTTTGAACTTCAAACAAAGCCCGAGCTTCATTTGGACCGCGAGCGGGGAGAGCGGAAAGTTTTGGTCGCGGTGCCCGCCTGACCCCTTGCCTTCTCACCTCTGCCGCATCCCCCCCCCCCCCTCTCCCTCTCTCTTTCTCTCTCTCTCTCTCTTTGTCCCTTTCTCTTTTCCTCTGTCCTCGTCTCTCTTTCGCCCACTGTCGATGCTCGACTGAAGTCTGCTCACTATACAGAGGAAGTAATTTTCCATCTCATTTGCATTCTTGATGAAAATCTCATAAAGCCAGGGCAGGCAGACACAGGAGAGCGTGGCGGGGCGGGGTCACCATTCTCTCCGCGTTTCTCTCTCTCTCTTTCTCCCTCTCGCTCTGCCACCCTCCCTCCCTCTCTCTCTTTCTCTCGTCCGCGCCACGCCTTCTCTTTATCTTTTACCCTTGCCTCGCACAAACAGTGCAAATAATTCGCACGTAGCCTGGCGCCGGCCGCCGGGGCGCCCCCAGGTTGCGTGTGTGACTTCGCTTCAGCTGCCGCCCGCCAAATATGAAACTGTTTAGGCATTTTTTCCCCTTTTTAAATCGATAATTGCAAGTAAAAGTAATAAACTCCCCGATTCGCAACACACGATAAACTGCAATTGAGGATTCCTGATTGGCCTTCAGGTGATTGTTATCTTTCGCTTTACTGAAATACTGCCTCGCAATCATCGGGCGGTGTAATATGTTCGACACGATTGCGCTCGGGTGGGCTGTTGGTGCGGCGGGAAAATTTGAATTAATAAAAGTCGGCAGGTTTGAATTAAATCCCAGTGCTGCCTACGTGCTGCTGTTTCTCTTGCTGTTTGTTTCCGCGGGACTTCCCTCGTTCGTCTCGCAGAAGTTGACTTTCCCTGAGCGACCC